CAGTACTAAAATCTTCGATCGCGGTAAGATATATTTTGTTTGTCAAGTAACGTATAAAATGAATCCAAAGTAATATGCTGTTATATGTCATGTTGCTGTAACCTATAGTTACATTACGTGTACAATATGTTTTTATTCTATTCTATTGTTAAGTATAAGTTAAGTAATTGAAAAATTATTCGGTCAGAAAGGATTATTCGATCGTCCTAGCTATGTCTCGATTGTTGCATATAATCTATCTGAGATAATTAATTAAGATACGAATATATACCTTCATTTAATATTTGATTGCAATAAACACAATAATTGTGTTTAACGGTGAATTTTAGCGAAACATTTGCGATGGCATTCAATTAGAAAAATTTTTATAAGCATGAAGTAACGGAAATATGAAAATTCAATATTGCGATATCACGTTCAAAAATCATGCAACGTATCTTCGTTTTCATCATAAATTTCTCATTTTACATATACGCATTCGCATTCATAGAAACATACGCATCAGATCGGATCGGATCAAATCAGATAAGATCAGATCAGATTATATTAGAGCAAATCGTATCAAATCACGACTACTAGCGAATATGTTATTTAAAAGTAGATTGTAACGACTATGGCTAAATATCATATTTTCATTACAAATATTTGGCAATTTAATTCCCTGAGCAGCAGAATAGCTATAAGGGAGAAGAGGAAACAGATGATGTACTGGACTTAGGAGTTACCGACGCACTCGATGACGACTTAGATGGTGAAGATGAAAATATAGAATTGAATAGAAGTAATGACAATGATTTTTATGAAGATGGTAATCAGCTAGACGTTCAGTCGAAATATTACGAGCAAGACGAAATAAACAAATACAAAATCGAACAAACGCGTCAACAAGATGAACGTTCGGCAAACGATAACGTTAATACTTCAACTAATATCGGCAAAGGAGATTTGCGAGAGAAGTTACAGAAAAACGCAAAGATGTACGCAGCAGCGACCGGACAAGGAATGGAAGACGATGAATGCGAGGAGGCCAAGGAAAGGAGGAACAGATTTCAAAACGAGAGAACTATAGTATCTCCGAAAATGAATACCAATATACCGGACAGTTTGGAAAACGTTGTAACATCTGAACCATCGAAGTTGATGATATACAGAGGCCGCGGAAGAGGTCGAAGTGCAAGAGGAAACCGAGGAGGAAGATTTAATACGCAGAATTCAGGGAACTTTAATCCAAGGTACTTGACTAGACATCTTTCCATTCGTCTTGCCGATACTACTGCGATAAATACGGATATAGCTAGACTGTGTTAAATATTTCTGAAATATCTCTGAAATGTTCTGCTAGGTTTAACAACGCGCGCAACATGAATTTCGATGGTCAAACACCAGCAGCATGCAGACCACCGTTACTCGAAGCTAGACCACCGTTTCTTCTCGGAGTACCGAACAACGTACAAAACCAGCAGATTATTTATCAACAACCAAACTCTCAAGTACAATCTTTCCAGCATTATTCTCTGAACGGTTCGCTTCAAGGTCCTACACACTTCGTAGATAGTAGACCGCAATTCAATCCTAATCAATTTCAAGGTCAAGTAGTCCCTCGAATTATTGGCCCGAGATTAGATTACGGACCACGAGGTAATTTGCCAGGATCGCTGCAAGGACCACCTTACAGTCACAACAATAATCATTCACCGAGTCAACCACCGTACGGACAAATTCAACCGGGTCCTTTTCAAAGTTCGAATGTGCTCAACGTGCAAGACGGTCAAACTCGTCTGATGCAGAATAATCAAGGCACCTTGTTGCAAGGAAATCCAGGAACGTCGTTGCTTGGAAACCTGAACCCATTGGTCGCTTCGTCTGTCGCTTCGGCCCCTGTCGCATTGTTACAAGGGAACCAAACGTTACCGCTGCAAGGATTCCCGCGGCAATCGTCCCAAGGACCACCCATTAACCATCCCAATGTACAAGTATCGAATCAGCCGCCTTTCGAGAACAGGCCAACTTTTCAAGAAGCTCAATTTGAAAATCGACCGGTTTACGATTCGAGGTCCGGTTATACCGATCAAGTACCTACCAGCCAATTTAATTCTAATACTTTGCCGGTACCGCAACAGTCTGCTTCCAATGTACCTAATGTACCTTTACCTCCAGGCCACAAGATTTTAATCAATCCTCACTTTCGAGGCGCCGTTCAATCGACCAACGATGGTAAGTCTTTGGAAATAGTTGTTCAGCGAAACCTAGCTTAGAACTAATGTCAACCGAAGGCTACTTATAACCGAACGAAATCGTCTCTTCTTTTTTCCGCATGAAGCAGCAAGGCTGGCATGGGACTCCGCTCAACAACAAACACCTTTGTTATCGCAAATTCCTAGCAGTCACTTTTCCCAATCTTTGCCGTCTTATCCGAATCAAGCTGCGTACGGTCAGCCGCAGCAGCAAGGACCACCGCACTATCAGCAGAATTATCAGCAAAATAAGAGCGATGTATGTATTTAGAAAGAATTTTTCTACGAAACACCTACAATATTTTCTGACCATTCTTTCTCTGGAATAACGCGTACGAATCGCATATTTGAAATAGGACCCCTATGCATATTTCTCGGACGTGTGGCAAGAAAACAAGCCACAGAAAAGTCAGAGTGGAACACTCGGTAAATCATATTCCGCTGAAAGCAGTTACACGCGCGACAGCAATTACGATGCCACCTCCAAGTATAAGTCCAGTCAATGGGATCCGAAAGACAGTTACCAAGAGGTAAGCATTATCGTACTTGGATGCAAATTTCGATTCATTTGCTTACGATGTTAATGCTTATTAGGATCATAGAGGGACTCGTCAGAATTATCGCGACAGAGAGTTGCAATCGAAGAATAGAAGCGATTATATTCCAAAGAGTCGACCGCCCTCTACGAACACGTACCGTGAGAGCTACGATCAAAACCATACGCAACAAAAATCGCCTGGTAACAGACCCATGAACGCTTCGGTAAAATGTAGATTACCGCAGAAGAGGAACTCCGAACCGGTGGACAGACCTTTACGCGACCTAAGTCCAAAACGAATGAAATCTAATAATAGAAATCTTCAAGAAGTGCGAACGGTAGATACCTTAAATACCGCGAACACCGATAAGAAGGTGTGTACACAGTAGTTGTATCAGCATTTTATTTCAACCTTTTTCTCGGCACGAATTTTTCTATACTTTGTCGTGCAATGAAATATTTCAGGACGAGGAGAATGATCCGGAAATGGAAGAGTACAGAAAGAAAATGGAAGAACAGAAGCGTCTTAGGGAAAAGATTTTACGCGAAAAGGAAAATAGGCGAAAAATGGCTGCAATGGAGAAACAAAGTGAAGAAGCTAAAAACGATACTGGTTCATGTATGTATGTTTAGTACTTTTGTAAACATCCGTTTTTCGATCACCGTTAAGTTAGATTCGAGGCGCAATAATTATTGCAATAGCATCGTATCGTGCATCCATAGACGTGTACATACGTGTGCGTTTTACACGGATTTCTTTTTTTCAGCAAACGTAGGTACACGAGATACGAAACCGGCGTCGGTACTTATGGGAGTTGTAAAAGAGGCTACAATTAGCAAAGCTCATATTGGTATTGGCAGAGGACGCGGTCGTCCTACCAATACGCAAGCTACCGAGGTACAATATTAAAAATACTGTCTTTTCTTAATTTCTAACAATAGAAAAACAATGAAAATTGGTACAATTTCTTCAAAAGTGTTACAATCTCATAAGTCGAATATAGTTAAATAGAATTATTACATTCACCTTTACGTACAGTACATTTTGTTTCTTTTCCGATTATATACCTATTCAAGTTTTCCAAGATCACGCTGTGCTAAAATACTATTTGTACATAAACATATTGGTATATAACAATTATATACCGATGCATGTAATTAAGACACGCTGCACGTGTCGTTGCATTTTTTTACACATCTCGGAGAAATACATTAATTTTAAATATTTATCATTGTCAACAAAATGAAAACGTACGAATTCGAAATATATATATATATATATGTATATACATATATATACATACATTTAGCAGACATTACTGTATATTTTTTATTCATGTTTCAATAAAATGTATTTTTTAACTACTTTTTGTTCCTTTTCATTTCCTCCAATAGTTCAGTTATTCTAAAGGAGCTATTCTTATGAACTGTCATTTTTATAATTATTATGATTTGGTGACTCGACAAACTGAAATATCGTTACGATTTCTGTTGTAGGCTGCAGAAAAATCATCCTGTGTACGAATTGTAAGAACAATACAGACTGTACAGCCCAACGATTTGGTAGATTTTTCCAAGGACAATAACTCCGGGCATACGATTGTGCAAAGCAACGATAATACCAAAGTTTTGAGTACGCAATCTGGCATGCGACGTGTTGTTATACAGAAATCGTTATCGAATACTCACAAAGTTGCCACTACTATCCAAAAAACGGTGTCGAATCTACAGAAATCAGGTCAAATGATATTACAGAACAAAATAAATAACACGACACAAGTTACAGATCATAAAGCTGGCCAAACCCAGTCAGATCCGTCGAAGAAGCTAATAACGGTTGGACAGAGGATTGTTAGCAATCCGCAACGAATCTTCAAACAAAAGCCGATTGTAAGTTTACAGAAGACTATCATCAATGTACAAGAAGTAACGACAAATACCAGTGGACAAAAGGTTGTTATGAATACGCAGAACAATCAAAGAGTTATACTTCAAAAAACACCAACTCAACAAAAAAAGCAACAGGAAACAAAAACTAATACCGTGAAGGTAGAAAATTTAGCAGCAAGTACATCCGAAGCACAAATTAGACGTATGTGTCAAGGGATTGGAACTATTGAGGTGACTATTTTTCTACTAGAACATTTTCTCCCGCCTCGACTCGTTTGTCTCTTTTAAGTGGTTTTACTTTTGTTTTTCCACTTTATTAATTTCACTTTTAAGTTACTTTAGTAGAAGAAAAAAGCTAATTTATGTTCTTTATTACGTAAAAACTAGCTTCGTATCACAGAAGCTATTTGATTATAATTTTCCCCGTGTGTAATAGATACAAGATTTCAAAGATACACTGCTTTAAGTTTCACATATTCTTTATTCGATTGAAACCAAATTCTTCCAATCTTACGAACTTTTCGAAGTATTCGTTTCAGTATGTCCGATAACGACACTTGTTATAACGAAGAAAGTGTTTTATTTGTCAAATACTGTATTATTTCATCTTTGTACCCTTCTCGATTCTGTTAACTAAAACATATGTAGCGATATGTCTTACAATGTATATAAGATATTATTTTACGTCACATGTAAAAGTTTTATATCGATTTACTATATGTCGAAAAGATTTATTTTCATTTTTCTAATGCATCATCGATTAAATTTATTTCTACAGTTTCATCTCTGTTACGATTCTATCAAGATATTGTTATACGTATATCTTATTGTTTCCTTTTTCCGTTAAATAAACAGCCTACTTTTAGTTTAATAATTCTTTGTTCATATTATTCGTGTTATAGAGCATACAAATGGGTGAACGTAGCGCAACAATTGTGTTTAAGACACAGTCTGCTGCCATGGTGTTTCACAAGAAATACCAGCGAAAAATGATAGACCTATCGCTGATCACTGTCCGCCTTGTACCGCAGTCAAGCGGAACTAAAACCATGGCTGCCGTTATTAAAATTTCTTAAAGAAAATATTTGCCAAGCCAATACTGTAATTCAAATACCAAAAAATGCATAGTATAATTACATTTGTGATTAAAAGTAACAATTCACGATTTAATTGAAGCAATCTGTGTATAATTCAATGTGCATTTCATATTTTACATACTTCTTATTTAGAATATATATATATATATATATACGTATATGTATATGTATATATGTATATATATATATATATATATATATATATATATATATATATATATATATATATATATGTGTGTGTGTGTATATTTATACATATAAAGTAATTTAATTATAGATACTTGTAATTATTTAACATATATACGCATACGTAGAGAGAAAGGGAGATACTATATATAGCATTGAAAAGATTAGAAAAACATATTTTTGGCTGCAAATGAATTGTATAATATACCTTTACAGACAAAGGTAAAATATCCTAACAATTTAATTTGTACATATGTCAAATGCAATGTATATTTCATATAAAAATACACGTGGCAGATACAACAGCGCGTTGTGCATTTAAAAGCTACTATTTACCATGTATGTACAGCGTATGCTCGTATAATGGAAAACTGATGGATTTATACATATAATTTCAAATGCAAGATGACGTACATGTCGATAAATAAAACGTTAATCGTACAATTTATAGGGCTAACATACTATACAATTAAGATGTAATTAAGTATTCAAAGTTACGTATTTGTAATGTAATCCGATGTGTATTACAACTTCAAAATCATTTTAGATATACTCGTACCATTTTATATAATGAATTTTGAAATAGACAACAAACATTAATGATATTATTTATTATTATGTTTTCTACATCTCATTAAGTTTCCGCATCATCCTTTTTTAGAATTGCAAGCAAACAAAAGACACAAGTCATAATGTAAATAGTTTCTTGCCAAAATCCATTTATTTGTTCAATTATTAACTTATTTTTTTTATATAAGTGACTATTTTTATAAGTAATACAAAAGTTTGTCAATTCAGGAAGAAATTCATGGGTAGGAAACGTTTAAGTAAAGGGTGATTCATTATAATAAAAAGAAATAAAAAATTAAATATATTTTCATTTGATTTTTTAGTTATTGAAAACTTCAAGTTTCTTGGGTTTAATCATAGTCGCGCACATAAGTTAGGAAAAGTGCACACATCAACGTATTAAATAAAACGAGAAAAAAAATCAAGAGTTAATACTCGCTCATTCTTATTATTATAGAGCATTAATAAGAATTCTCTATACGATTATCAGAACAAGTAAGTTGTAAATTTGTTATTCTTGACTTTTCTCTGCTTCTACACACAAATAAAAGAGTTTAATAGCGTGTAAGAAAAGTAAACAACAACAACGCAAAATATAATTGGTTAATATGATAGTTAACTAAACTTCGAAGACCAATTAATTATACCGCTGGCTCGCAGCTCGCGGCTCGCACATACACGTTTGTACACGCTGCTGCGGCATGCGCGGCAAGCGGAATTCAACGTAGTAGCATGTAGTAGATACAGTTCTTTGTAAATATCTCAGAAACTAAAATGGACCTGTTTTTGATGCAAAGAAAAATGTTGCTTTAACATTAGACATATTGAACAAATTTAACATATTTCAAAGCCATGCAGATNATATTTATACATATAAAGTAATTTAATTATAGATACTTGTAATTATTTAACATATATACGCATACGTAGAGAGAAAGGGAGATACTATATATAGCATTGAAAAGATTAGAAAAACATATTTTTGGCTGCAAATGAATTGTATAATATACCTTTACAGACAAAGGTAAAATATCCTAACAATTTAATTTGTACATATGTCAAATGCAATGTATATTTCATATAAAAATACACGTGGCAGATACAACAGCGCGTTGTGCATTTAAAAGCTACTATTTACCATGTATGTACAGCGTATGCTCGTATAATGGAAAACTGATGGATTTATACATATAATTTCAAATGCAAGATGACGTACATGTCGATAAATAAAACGTTAATCGTACAATTTATAGGGCTAACATACTATACAATTAAGATGTAATTAAGTATTCAAAGTTACGTATTTGTAATGTAATCCGATGTGTATTACAACTTCAAAATCATTTTAGATATACTCGTACCATTTTATATAATGAATTTTGAAATAGACAACAAACATTAATGATATTATTTATTATTATGTTTTCTACATCTCATTAAGTTTCCGCATCATCCTTTTTTAGAATTGCAAGCAAACAAAAGACACAAGTCATAATGTAAATAGTTTCTTGCCAAAATCCATTTATTTGTTCAATTATTAACTTATTTTTTTTATATAAGTGACTATTTTTATAAGTAATACAAAAGTTTGTCAATTCAGGAAGAAATTCATGGGTAGGAAACGTTTAAGTAAAGGGTGATTCATTATAATAAAAAGAAATAAAAAATTAAATATATTTTCATTTGATTTTTTAGTTATTGAAAACTTCAAGTTTCTTGGGTTTAATCATAGTCGCGCACATAAGTTAGGAAAAGTGCACACATCAACGTATTAAATAAAACGAGAAAAAAAATCAAGAGTTAATACTCGCTCATTCTTATTATTATAGAGCATTAATAAGAATTCTCTATACGATTATCAGAACAAGTAAGTTGTAAATTTGTTATTCTTGACTTTTCTCTGCTTCTACACACAAATAAAAGAGTTTAATAGCGTGTAAGAAAAGTAAACAACAACAACGCAAAATATAATTGGTTAATATGATAGTTAACTAAACTTCGAAGACCAATTAATTATACCGCTGGCTCGCAGCTCGCGGCTCGCACATACACGTTTGTACACGCTGCTGCGGCATGCGCGGCAAGCGGAATTCAACGTAGTAGCATGTAGTAGATACAGTTCTTTGTAAATATCTCAGAAACTAAAATGGACCTGTTTTTGATGCAAAGAAAAATGTTGCTTTAACATTAGACATATTGAACAAATTTAACATATTTCAAAGCCATGCAGATCGGTCGGTGTGCCCAACTTCGGCAAGTTAACTCAGAAAAACAGATACAATTTGCTTTTGAAAACAAGCAGGGCTCTCGTATGCCCGACGACCGCTTTACGAGCAGAGCTCCCAGCACCCTAACCACTTTACGACTTTCTTCCAAGAAAGTAGGAGTGAGAGAATTAGGGCGGGTGTGCATCTAAGAGTAAAACTCTCGACAGTTGCTATAGTATAGTGCTCTGTGTGGAGTCTCGAAACTAAAGTCTACTAGAGCCACTGCCAGACAGTGGATGACGCCAATGAATTTTCATTGGCAATCCATTGGAATCGTCCAATCCCATTTGTGAGGTTTTCTTTCCACAGAAAAGAAGAATTTCGGGCAGAATCTCTAACATCAATGAACGCACTGGTCTTGAGTGGAAATTTCAAGAACGGTCAGGCGCCTGAGAGCTCTACCTGTAAGCAAGGTTCTCCATTTTTTGTAATAGAATTATTTCATCATATTCCATGCTGAACGGTGTATTGTCATTTTGGCATTTTTGTCGCTCCAACTGAAAATCGAGTTGTTTCTTGATTATTGTGAGTACAACTGGATGCTGATATGGCTTCGACTCAAGTCGATTGGAATAAATGTACGGATGAACAGGAAAAATTATCCGCCAAGGTAATATTCCCATTACATGTATATAATTCCGGTTTAACCTCACATTTCTTTGTTTATACATGTTTCTTATTACAGCCTTTTTTCTATAATTTACACTTTTGTCTTTCTCGTGTTCATATTCATTGTGTAATTTGAAGAAATTTGATTGAAAGAATAAAATTAATGTTGTACATTGTAAAAAAGTAGTACAAATCAATTTCAGTAGCTTGGCATCCAGATACAAATATTGTTATACTATCGGTATACTATTGTTAGTTGTTATCGACAGGTGTCTAACTTGAACATAGAAAAACAACCTGCAGAAAATGCATCGAATAATACAGAATCTAAGAATGACGATGGAACAGACGAACAGATCACGCCAGCAGAAAAGTCATTCTTGCAAAAAATTATACGTAAAGGGCTAGTAGTAACGAAAAAGAATATAGAAATTCAAAGAAAAGATCCAGCTTCGCCTTTATATAGCGTAAAAACTTTCGAAGCTCTTCATCTGTACGTATATCTTTGATATATTATGTTTTCTGCGATTCTATAGTTTAATTAAAAATACATTTCCGATAACCCATATTTTAGTAAACCAGCTTTATTAAAAGGAGTATACGCAATGGGATTTAACGCGCCATCAAAAATCCAAGAAACTGCATTACCGACATTGCTCGCTGACCCGTAAGTTCATTTTTTCTTCGATAATATTTTTTGTTATATGTTTATCATGAATTTAAATTTGGATAACGAATGTACAGGCCTCAAAACATGATAGCTCAGTCGCAGTCTGGGACTGGCAAAACAGCAGCATTTGTGTTGGCGATGCTAAGCAGAGTAGATACATCTAAGAATTATCCTCAAGTGCTTTGTTTATCGCCAACCTATGAACTAGCTATACAAACGGGAGAAGTAGCAGCAAAAATGTCTGCGTTCTGTAATGAAATTAAAATCAAATACGCTGTCAGAGGAGAAGAAGGTAATATATACTTTGCTGTTAGATTTTTTAAATATTTTATTCCTATACCAAACGAATACTTATCATGTTAATGTAATCTATGCACTTGTTTCAGTAAGTCGCGGGTCAAAAATTACTGAACACATCATTATAGGAACACCAGGAAAAGTTTTAGATTGGACTGTTAAATTTAAATTCTTTAATCTGAGCGAGATATCAGTATTTGTTTTAGACGAAGCGGATGTAATGATTGCAACGCAAGGCCATCAAGATCAGTGCATTCGTATTCACAAGTAATTCAAGCGACCGCAATAAATTTCATTGAATTATACGCACTTACGCATTATACACTTTACTTGCACAGGCAACTTCCACGCGATTGTCAAATGATGTTTTTCTCCGCAACTTATGAACCAGAAGTCATGAAATTTGCAGAGATCATAGTTAATAATCCTTTGATAATACGACTGTTAAAGGAAGAAGAGAGTTTAGATAACATTGAACAATATTATGTAAAGTGCAAAGATTTGGAAGAAAAATATGCTGCTATTACTAATATCTACGGTGTGATAACAATAGGTCAAGCAATCATTTTTTGTCATGTAAGACAGTTCATTTGTATTTACGTCGATATAAAATTTTCTCTGTTTATATATCATAAATATATTAGTATCTTCTGTCTGTTCGCAGACTAGGAAAACGGCAAATTGGTTAGCAGAAAAAATGACAAAAGATGGCCATGCAGTGGCCGTTTTGTCCGGTGAATTAACAGTAGAACAAAGAATCTCTGTCTTAGATCGATTTAGGGAAGGTTTAGAGAAAGTTCTCATCACGACGAACGTTTTAGCTAGAGGTATTTATTTCAATTTATTATTAACGACATAAGCGAATCATCCGATACTTGAAAATATATTACTCATCTTTCAGGTATCGATGTTCAACAAGTAACGATAGTAGTCAATTTTGACCTACCCATGGATCAAAACTGGAAAGCTGATTGTGAAACGTACTTGCACAGAATCGGTCGAACAGGACGATTTGGGAAATCTGGAATTGCTATTAATTTAGTAGATTCGTCACACGCAATGGCAATATGTAAGGATATAGAGACTCATTTTGGGAAAAAAATACGTTACCTTAATGTTGAAGACGCAGACGAAATTGAGAAAATTGGAGCCTAGCTTAGTATGTACGATATATAATTATCCTTTATATCAAATATGCGTAGACATTTTAACTGTTTTAATAAAGAAACAAACTTTTTTTGCCATGAAATGGATTTAGAAAATTGTCCTGAACATTTCTGTACCTTCAAAATATTCTTCTAAACCACAAATTGCTAAAATATATTCTCTTGTATATATAAATATATATATGTATATATATTATATATATTATATATATATATGAATAAATATTACAAAAATCGAAATAGTTACTACTAATAGCAAAGAACAGGAACTGTTTTTTATTGCTTGTTCGTGAAATTTTCACTCAGGACCAGTGTGTCCATTGGTGTCAGGGATTCTGCTCCGAGTGCCGGAGAAAAGACCTCACAATTGAGATTGGAGGATTTCAATGGATTGCCAATACAAATCCATTGGCGTCATCCAATCCTATTTATGATGGGTAATACTGCTACTCCTGCCCTTCCTGCAAAAAAGTCGTCTAGAGCTCTGCCTTCAAACAAAATGGTGAGAAGTATGCGCTAGTGACGCCAAGTAGTTTCAACATCGAACTAAGAAAACATCGATTTCTTGATTAATCGATATCTTAAAACATCGATATTACAATATAAAGCATCGATTATCTAAGAACCGATGCAACATCGCTCATTACTAGTCTGTGCTTTGGAGAGTGGTGACTTTGATCACTTTGACTTGTGGTCCATTGTGGGCACTTGTGGTTAGACAAGAGGGAACAAGTTCCGTAAGTTCTTACTTCTTACGGCCCGCGAATCCTGGCTGCTTGAGCATTGAACAGTACATCTGTATGTAATATACATAAGAACACTGGACTGAAACGAATGGTGACATGTTAATCGTAAACTAAGAAACTCTCTTTATAAAAATATAATAATATAAATAGATACATTATGGCTGATTCGTCTTATGAGAAAGGACTAACGGAACTTTCGAAGATGAAGGTAATTTATATGTATTAGGTTGATATTGTTTCACTACCGGGAACATAACCTCAACATTATATACAACTGTTTTGTACACAATAAAAGATTTCTCTGTCTACGGTTTTATTTGCACCGTGCACAAGTAGTTATTTGATATCAATCGTAAAAATAATGTTTGTTACTAAGGCTCTGCAGTTAAAGAACTTTAATACACTTGTTAATTAACATTATAAAATAGGTTGCAGATTTGAAGATCGAATTGAAACAGAGAGGACTTACCACTAGCGGTAATAAAACTGAATTGGTTGAAAGGCTTCAGTTAGCAATTCATGGTGGTATATGTTTATAAATGAATTTACAACGTATGTGTATTTTCCTGTAAGAATTATATGTTGATAAAGCGATGTCTTTTTCGATAGATTCTGCATTATCTTTGGACGAAACTGCGGAAGAAATTTTAGACGAAGATGCAGTCCTCGGTGTAAGTACAAAAAAAGGATATTTCAAATTAATATCGCATTTATTTATCTCTAATTTTAACAGGATCGTTTCAAGCAGAAACTTTTGAGAAATAAATATTTAGAAAAGTATCTATGATTTAATTTCTATCGGTACAGTCGTAACAAATAGTTATTTCGTGATATAGGATGAAGAAATAGAAGAGCTATCGAGTAAACCAGATTCTCAAGAAGTAAATGAAAAAAGGAAATTGTCTACGGAGAGCAACGCGAGCGCGAAGAAAATAGTTCTAAACCGCAAACCAGTGATCGAAGAAACTAAGAATGAATTGATAGAAAAAGCTGAGACCGACATGAAATCTACAGAAACTGTACCACCGGAAAGAAAAATTATTAAGTTGTCAGAGCTCGGTGTCAAAGAGGTAACGATAAACATTTGTTTCCGCTACGGATATACGTATAAAATAAAATAGTAACGCTATACCGATTTCATGTTTAGAGATTGGAAATGAGAGCTAAAAAGTTTGGTATGCCGCTATCGGAAGCTGCTAAAAAGGAAGCCAGATCTGCCAGATTCAGTATTAATAATCAAAATAATAAGTCTGCTGCTTCTGTAAAAACACCTGTGGTATGTATTTATCATTAATTACAATCGAAACGTCATTTGACGCGTTTTAAATATTTAGAATTCATTGGTTATACATGTTTACAGCATACAACATACGAAGTTTTAAAAAAGCGAGCAGATAGGTTTGGTATGTCTGTTTCTACCCTAATGGAGAAGGTAATAAATAGAATAAAAGCATGTATAAATAACATTCAATTATGTGATTAAATATATATATATATATATTATATTTAATTTTTACAAATATGCTTGATTGCAGGCCGAGTTGGAAGCCAGAATAGAAAAGAGAAAAATCAGATTTGGTGAAGTAACATCCACGAATGATAAAGTACTTCAGAATAAAGTTAAAATTGTTAAATGATATTCAGTGTTATATACCAAAACAGCAACGTAGATTGCAAACCTTATTCTAAGTTTTCTTATTTTCGGTACAATCATTGTATACACAATAAACGATCATCGTATTTGTTATAAAATACTTTGCGCAATGAATGCAAGCAATCTTTTTTTTTCTTTTTTAGTGTGACTAATCGAAGCGTATCTAATTGCGTTTTGCAGGAAATTGCTAAAAAAAAAAAAACACTAGCTGTAACAAAAATATCATATTCGGTGTTGCGATACTATTTTCTTTTTCCGATCTTATTCGTATTATGATATTCTGTTGCTAAGAATCCATAGTGAGGAAAAAATTTGATTTCAAGTTGATATGCGATGAAATCGGATATACCGAAAGAGAGAACAGCATCCTACAAGATTACTTCAATATATTGAATTTTATTATAAAATGTTTGTATTTAGGCTACAACATGTAATATAATAATTGCGTTTGGTCTAGACCCTTACGAAAAGAAAAGCTAAACTGCGCACCACATTTACAGTTGTCCTGACATGACGTTTTCGTCAAGTTTACGTTCCAAGGAAACATTTTCTATGTATATGTACCGTTTCTTTTTGTCTACATTCGAGTACGCGTGTAGAAAGGTGTCTGCTTCGATCTCAAATTGATTACAGATCTTTGAAATGTGTTCTCTAGTTATCCGCTACCATTCGATAAAATCATCGTGTGTATTACAAATGTGTTTCATAAGAAATATACGAACGTACGTATAATACATATACAACGTCTGAAAAATTGATTTATCGCTTTATTCTCACTTCTTTTATAAAGATCAGATGAAAACTAGTCGAAAGTCTGTATAAGACATCCATATTCCGCGTTATGTTGCGTTTACGTTACACCTTTGTATCTATTAGAAGATCTGCCTTTTTTAATTGAAAACAGACGCAGCCATGAGTTTACATTTAAAAATTCTTTGTAGAAACGTTTACGAACGAAGTCGCATTATTCCTTGAAGCGCACTCTAAGAGACGAACGGGTCGAAGACGCATACGATTACGTCGAGTTAAAGAAGACGATAGAGATTGTACATTGAAAAACGGTGTAGAACCGAAATGTATCGTATAGGTGTAAAAATAATGAAATTATAGACGCAGCAAATATCTCTCTCTCACTCTCACTCTCTCTCTCTCTCTCTCTTTCTCCCTCTCTCCCTCCTTCTCTCTGACAATTGTACGGTGTGTAGATTGTGTAATGATCGTTCACAATTCGGTCTTGTTCACCCATTAACGGTCAATGGTCCCGTATCGATGACTAAACTGCACATGTTGGAAAAGCTAACATATCGATACTTTTGATAATTCCATTGTTCAATGAAACTCTCTGAAACAAGAATTTATTAAAACTCCAATTTTATTCTTCAATTTTTATAAAGTAAATCGGATAATTAATTCGCTATATCTCGATGGAATGTTTATTGAAATGTTCTGCGCCACTTGCAGACAACAGTGACGAGAAATTTAAAAAGAAGTTCGAATCGTCGAAATAGGAACATTGCGCGTTAATGGACCAAGACGGTCGACGAAGTAAAGGAAACTGTCAAGCAGCTAATCCTAAGATAATGTATTTCCTTTTCTTTATTTATATAACTTCTATTTATATTAGGTATGTACGTATGTGTGATAACTAAACAGATACACGATCTTTCTGGCGCAAAGAGATACTACCAGCTTTGCGATCCGATCGAAGAGCAGGAGGCTGTCGCACTATTAACAAACAAATAAATCACAAAAAAGAAGTAACACTTCTCTCTCTCTCTCTCTCTCTCTCACACACACACACACACACACTCTGCGTGCCTCTTAGTTGCTCTCTTTCTCTCTCTCTCTCTCTCTCTCTCTCTCTCTCTCTCTCCTTCTTTTTAGAAATATACCTAGATTTTCACGTAATCGTATCTGTTCAGCGAATCACTCGAATCGGTTGAATTACTTTTCTTTATGTGCTCTTTTTTTCTTTCTTATACGAATCCGCTACTTAAAATCAAGCAGGAAGCTGCGCTGTAGAATTTGTGATGAATCATAATAACACGATACGTTCGTATAATATATCTTAATTAATTTATACTTTATTACATATATATCTCTGTATGCATATATATATATATATATATATTTTTTTTTTCTTTCCCTTAAAAGCTTGAAAAGCGTCTTAAGTCAAGAATGAAACAAAGAAATAAGATAAGAAACATGAAATATATGTGTATACACACACACACACACACACACACACGCGCGCAAACATATGTATGTATGTATACATATACATAAATATATCCACACGTGTCTGTGTGTGCGCGTGCACGCGCATGTTTGTGTGTGTAAAAAAAGAAAAAGATTTGTTAGTCTTTAACTCGATTCGGTTGCATATGCCTGGAAAAATCATATGTATTCGCAATATAATTTACATATTAACTATATATTTGTAATTGCACACTAAAATGAAATAGAATTTCATAGTATCCGCAAGCACCCTCGCCCGACTAATTTCTACATGTATTTTTCATGCGCGTTTTCTACAGTCTTACTTTCTTAGAATTGGACTGGTGCAGCCTCCTGTTCTTCAAACTACCTATCTATCTATCTATCTATCTATGTATCTATATATATATATATATATATATATACACATGTATATACATGTATATGTATATATATATAGATATATACACATATGCTCTTGTTTCGTCGTTCTTAATAATATAATAATAATAATCAAGTAAAATTTGTAAAATACAATATTATCGCTACTTATATCATAAATTCTTAATCTTTTTCATTTAGAATTATAAATAATTAGTAGTAGTCTTCACACCATTTGTAAATTTATTATAATCGAATCTGCCGTGTTCGTTTCGTTTTTCTTTTTTTCCAATTTAAATATTACATTTGTGCCCTTTGCACTAATTAACCGTATAAGTATTTCGAGTGACTCTGTGTATGTGTGTATTATCCGTGATCGTGGTGCTTTGTACCTGTGTTCGACTGCAAGCATGTACTCGTGTACGTTTGTGTGTACGCGTTTCTTTTGTGTATATATAATACATATAATATAACCTAAAGGACTTATTGTATTTACATATGTACACGTAACAACGGTGAATAGTCCGAATGTGTTAATAAGTTTCACCTCCTACCATTCTCTCTCTCTCTCTCTCTCTCTCTCTCTCTCTCTCCCCCCCCCTCTTGATCTTTCCGTCGATTATTACTAAGATCGACATGTAAAAACAGTAAACGTTTACCGAAGAAAGGATACCTACGTATCTAAGCCGGATTTGGAGGTCGATCGGTTAATAAACTGTGCATTACGAATATCATTTTTGTATGCATATGTATATCATATTAACGGAGAGAGTTATTAGATAAAATTCTGGTCAGATCTTTGTGTAATCCGGCTTCGCTAGCGTAAACGCGATTATATCTCTCAGTATCTCTGACGCGTTGTAAACTAACTGTGTGGTCGTTATTCGCTTTCATATAGAAACTTTAATCAAACTCGAACTAATTACAAAAAGCTTACAACTCTTAGGAAATAGGCTCCATTGTCAGCGATTACTATAT